TTAAAGCCTTGTCATAGCTTTTGTGCTCTGCAGGGCATTTCTGCCATTCAAATAAACGTTACTTTTACAGCCTACCTAACAATGTTCAAGGTCTTAAACTGTCCTCCAATCAAGCCTCTGTGTCAGGAAGTAGAAAAACAATTTCCTCATTGTGCTTTGCAGAGTTCAACTGGTACAAAGAGATAGGAGATACAGACGAGAACATTTTATTATTAAACAACATCAAAACAGCCAGTTTGGTGTAAGCGGTGCTAAAACAGCTTGGAAAATGAATTTTACCATTTTACAGTCTATTTTGTTGTTCTCTGGCTTGACTTTGGTCCACAGTGGCGCTAATACCACTGAAATTAATATGTTTGGGGAGCCAACCACACAACCTTTGGTGGCTTTTTGGTCATGCAAACGTAAGAAAATGTTTGTCTGCTTAGGATGACAGGCCAGAGTTTCTTTTAAATATGATGCTTCACACAAATCGAACCAATTTCTGTAACATTCAGATGTGCTTAATACAAAATCCTTTGTTTTCCTTTTGGCAAGTTGTAGTATTAAATTTTATTATCACTTTTGAATTTGATATCATTTTAAGACGTATGTTTATGTTAATTTAACTAATTCGAGTTTCATTGCATTGCCTAGTATTAACTGCATTTTAATACCTTTTTAAAAAAATCTTTACTAAAATGCTTTGAATGATTAAAGTGTATTGCTTTATGAACAATATTGTTTTGCTTTTTTTCCTGCTTGATCGTGAATATGAATATGTGAGATCAATGGATAAAATTGAAGTAAATAATTTAATTGAAGCATACAGGGACTGCCTCCATTCCTACTTCACAATTATGTGTTGATGATGTATACTAAATAATTGTTGGGGTACAAATAAATGGGAGTAACTTATAAGCATTTTTAGGAGTGAGGAGGATAAACTGGGACATTCAAGCTGCTTTTGGTAACAAACTGATGCATGAAAATATGTCACGTTTGTCAAAAGCAGCCATGTATTTATACCTATGTGAAGGTCCCTCTGTTTTGAGCCTGTCAACATTATATAACTTTGACTTATAAGCACAGAATGAATTAGTGAACATAGAACAGAAATGTAAGAAAAATAGTGGATCTTTATAGTCATGCTAGCGAATGTATTAGTATTTACTCATTGCTCTTTTGCTGAGTTCAACAGATAGATACAGATAGATAAGGGATACAGAGATACAGACAAGAGAAAAGTTTATTATTAAACAGCATCAAAGCAGCCAGTTTGATCATATTAATGAGAGGTCTGGAGAGTGAGTGGTACTGAAACAAACTCATACCATCCTGACATGTGTAACCTCCTGAAAGATTTTTGGGCCATGACAGAAAAAGTGAAATATGGAAACAGACTAAAGGACACTAAAATCAGCCTAAAGGAGACAGTAAGGAGACAGGAGACTGAAAGACAGTGAATTGAAAAAGAAATTTGCTGTGAAGCAAAGGTAAAATAAAATGAAGTGAGATTTCATTGACTAAACTGTTAAGCATTGTTTTGTTGTGGCTGAATATTTCATAAAGCAACATAGTCAAAACAACAAACAAAACAAAAAATGAAGACATACCACAAAATATAACAAACAGAAATGCATAGCCAGAAACAAATCAAATTTCTGACCCACCACACTACTTGCAAGCAGATGCTTTCCAGATGGTAGGGCATCTGGAATTGTGCATGACGTATTATGGATTAAAATGTAATACTTTTCTGCCTTAATGTCATTACACACCCACAGTCACTTTTGCAAAACTCAAGGTTCACATAGCTTCTCCATAGTGTGAAAGAATGACATCTACAATTCTGTTTAGATGACTTATTATCACATGTTTACTACTACTGTATTTCACGTTAAGTTCTGTTAATGCTGTGCCTTCCCTCGAGGCCAACAGGTTTATTGGTCACTCTAAAAAATACCACCTCAAGAAAATAAAACAACAAAATAACAAAAAACAAAACAAAAAGAATTATAGACTTCCTGTCTACTTTATGTGTCCAGAGTTGCTAGTACAAAGTTTAACTCGTCTTGTGGTCCAATTCTGGTCCCCAGGCCTCATGTTTGACTAGGGCTGGGCGATATGACCCAAAATTCATATCTCGATATTTTTAAGCTGAATGGCGATATAAGATATATATGTCGATATTTTTTTAAGGTAAGAACAAAAAGAGAGTTCTTAGTGTTACGGATTCAAATATTGGGAATGGATACAAGAGGAAAACCAAAATAACAACACTGGTCCGGCCGGGTCAAGTCAAACGATGATTTAATGAACACACGCGTGGGAGATGGACACCATACACAGACAGCATCAGATCTCAAAATGGTGGAG